GGGTATTACGTAAAAGCCTATAAAACGTCAAAAAACCTATAAAATTCCATCTTGCAGGCTAGGTAGTTAGGTGCCAACAGTCATTCCACGTTTGCTCACTAGGATCGTTGTGAGCGTCTATCTATGGAGGAATGACCCAACTATATGCATTGTTGGTTGCATATGCTTTGTGGAGCCGGGAAGTCTGTAGTTTTCATCTCTGAGAAGAAAGTTGGTTGAATAGCAAGATCGCATCTGGATGATTATGTATATTGGTTTGCATGTGTATAAAATCAGTGATATTTGCTGTGTGAGAAAATCATTACTGAATATGCTGCCAATGTATATCTATCAGCTGTGCCGGACGGGATATTTATACGTTGTCCTTTCGGAAGGCAGGTTATGTTCAAAAATATCAAAAATATAAATTACGACTTAAGTCATATTTTATATGACTTTTAATTTGACAACAACTACATCCATCCAAAAGCTATCTCTGTTGAGTGGTATCAGCAGGCTTTAGGCCTATACACAAGTGCAGCTAACGTAGAGACGTAGAGGCTTTATGCTCTCATCATTCAACAGGACGGATTGTATACGTAGAAAAACAACGACGAAAACTCAACTAAACTGATTGCAGATCGCAGACGGCGGAACGGAAAATCTGGGAAACGTCGACAGCCACCACCGAAAGCTAGAAGCCGGAAGATAAATCCGCTTGTTACAGGACCGTAACAGCGATTTGTTTTATGAAAATTAATCGGGCTTTTAAGATATTGCATGCTTATCCTGTATGCATCGCATCGTATCGTTGATGAATTGCTACCTGATGGTATCATGGTAGCAGCAAATGAGATGGAACTTTTGAGTAATTGTTATGGTTCCTTTACCTTATTCCTTCTCGATAATTGCGCCACCTGTCGGACGTGGGACTGAAATATTTATACTTGAGACGTCCCTTATAAAAAATACAGCAGATATTAATGAAAATGGCAATGTCTTTTATTTAACAGTTGATGACAACGAAATATTTTCATCCTTCCAGGCCTCAATTAACCACAGATGACACCGATTTCACCATGGGGGGCAAGCATATATTCCAATAGGGGAAGGGTGGGCAAGTCATCATACTCGTAAAATCGATTTATTTTGAAAAATATAAAAGGTATCATGAATTAAAAAGCGTCATAGTACAAATAGAACATCCTTTGTTATTATTTATCAAGTGAAAACAAAACCATACTTCCATTTTAAAACTAAAAATTTAAAATGAAAAGAGTCAAAATGTCATCTTGCCCTACCCTACAAGGCAAGATGGCATATACGTGGATTTATACATAAAGTGATCATTTATCAAAACATAATTCACAAATGAAGTTCTTAGCCTTCATTGACAGTCCTGCACACTCTGCATGAGTCCACATATGACACATTTGGCAACGTAACCAGCCCTCTTGAGATTTGGATAGGCTATACAACTCATTGCAATAGAGGCATGCGCAATCATCGTCGTCGTCCTCATTAAAGGGCTCTTCACAGTCTGATTCATTTTCATAGATTTTAACTGCACTTCGTTCACTTTTTCTTAATTTTCCGGTTCTCTTTTCTTGACAATCTGTTTGAATATCTTTATCTCCACATTCTAAGGAACCATCATTCTTCACTGAGTTTCGCTTATTCTTTCTTACCTCCTCTCTCGCTTTTTTAATATTCTCTTGTTCGCGAAGACTCTGTAGGTATGAACTCGTGGTAAGAACATCTTGGTAACTTCTCTTGGCCTTCCTTCTTCTTTCCCTGAGGAAAAGGTGAAATTTGCAACAGCAAGTTTGTGACGTTATTAGCTGAAGACTCTCCATGTTCATGTGGCTTTGTATTTACTGTTGTAGATTACTGCGGATCTTCTTCATTCAAATGTTCTGCTGCAGAGAAACATTTACCCGGATTAAGGGAGTCAGTGTTTGCATCATCGGCCTCAAGTGGCACGTGAGTTACTGTGCTGGGCAAATACATGTGTTCTGGAAATATGTCCGTGTTGAAAGGTGATATCTCTGTTTTATTGCAGGCGGAAGAAAAAAGTGACGCGACTTGATAAAGAGTGATGACACGACTTGGATTTTCCTTCAACCATTGTGTGGCTGCTGCATCTTAGTACTTACTTAGTGGTCCAAAAAAGCACACATCTAGCGGTTGGAGACGATGTGTGCAATGTAAGTGCAAACAAAATAGCGCCACTGATTTTTTGCTTGCTTCTAAATTTTTATGGCTGACTTGCCCGTCTAAAATTAGCAGGGCTTTGTTTTCGATGTTCGGTCGAACATGTTTAATAAAGTGTTCCATCCACTTTACAAATAGTTCCCCGGTCATGTAACCTGATTCATTGTACAAACATAAATTCCCAACAGGCACTCCGTCGTATAATGTTGGGTTGAATTTCTTCCGAGGAAAAATTATAGCAGGTGGAATATAAGTTCCCCTGAACTCATGCACGCCACTACAGTTGAATGCACTCCTCTTTCCCCGCTGGTGATAGCACCCACTTGCTTCTTTCCTTTTAACGCAAACATTTTAGAAGTATTTTGTACAGTTGACTCATCCATGTTAAAAATCATACTTTTGTCGATTTCTTTACTATTTATTACGTTACGTAGATTTTCAAAAAGGTCTTTACTTGCGGTTTGTTAAAACTTTCAGTGCGTGCCATCGATGTTGCCTGTGGCTGACGTAAAGATATATTCGGATTCCTTAGTTGAAAAGAGCGTAGCCAACCTTTGCCTGCAATTTTATTCATGTTATTGAATTGATGTTTCAACTTCATTCGCAATGCAAGTTCATAATTATGCCAAAAGACGGACATCTACGGTGGTTAAGCCAAAAAATCTAGCTTCCAGTGCTAGCATATGCTCCACTAGAGCCTCTTCTAGTTCTCGATTTAAGGTTGTTCCATGTCTGCCAAGATGCTTTCTTGTACCAACAGCTATTTTATTTAGGTTCATAGCACGGCGGCAAACTGTTGCCTGGGACACCTGGAAATGCTTGTTAGCCTTTAACCAACCCATGCGCTTTTCTGCTACAGCCTGCAAATTGGAAACCATCTGTAAATTAAAACAGCAGTTGCAAATCTTGGGTCATGAGGGCCAAGGACGGATCTATGAAGGGGGGAATAATGGGGATAACAACTCCCTCCAGACAGGTCCCATAACTTAAATGAATAGAAAACACTGGATAAAAATACTATAATAGCTTAAAAAATATGCTAAACAAATATATAGGTACCCATGTTTTTACCTCTACATTAATAGTAAGTACCCAAAACATTAACCTAGAATTTTATTTTAAAGGAGTTTTGGGTAAGAGTTGGTCCCAGATTTTGTTTACCCTACCCCAGCAACATTTCATAGATCCGTCCTTGAGAGGGCAAGATGACATAGCTATATTTCAACTTGCCCGCTAGCGTGTGAGATCATAACACGAAAATATGGCCGGTTAAAATATAACCTAAAAACAGTTGCAATATCTTAAAGTAAAGCTTAGGAACACCCTTTTTATCTCCAAAATAAATCATGAAAAGAAATACTATAATAGCATAAATATGCAACAAAACATATGGCGCAGGAGTCGATTGTAACGAGCGTATGAACTGAACCAATAAGGGATTAGTTTTCGTGGTGGGGGCAATGTGTCGCCTTGAACGGCTATGTCGACTTGCCCACCTTTCCCCTATTAGTCTGGCATTTTTCCCTTTTTGTCCATGCGTGGGTGGCAATCGATATAGTTACCCCCAATATGCAGTCGGCTCCCAGCAAATAGAAAACACGAAAATGCAGGATGGTGCTGAAAATCGGATTCCTTGAATAACCTTTCAGCGTTACTATACAGGGGTGCGTTTTTAAATTACCTGGTGCGGAGTAATGAAATGTAGATTTGTAGATGAAATTTTACTCTGTGAACCTTTCAAAACACGTTTTCTTAGGCCATTGAATTTTTATAAGAAACGCAATGAATTCGAGATAACCCATTTATCCTGAAAATTATATAATCTGCCAATTCTGAGCACTTTTTGTTAACTGAGTAAGGTCAGCAAACAATGAACCAAGAGAATGACAACTGACAACGTTTTTATTACTAAGGCTTTGAGTACGGGAAGAAAAGCGCACTTTGACCTTCCAGAAGGATTACTTTGTTCTGTTTCCGAACGTATGGAACAGGTACGTCAAAATTATGACCGCTAAAATAGTTACAGAGTAGTACAAAGTACACTCTGTAACAATTTACGAATGCACCCCTGGTCAGCAAAATTTTGGCAGCTTAATTAGTTAAGACATCACATAAAGATATTGAAACCAAGTGACTCTGATTCCCAATGTGTAGCCGCTCAGTGAAACCACATATGCTGTAAATACTTCATAGTGACGTCAGTATTTCAAGCATAATATGCGGTTCGATTTAGGGGCCAGACGAACATGTGGTTTGCCAGCATGAAAACCACAGGATGAGTTTCAAGTGTTACACAAATAACTCTTCTATATCACAGGAACAGACGAGTTCTAACGCAATACCGCTGATATTTCTTGCACCCTGTATAATTATGACCCCAAAATATTATTGTATTGAGAGCCTAGGCTTTAGCTGAAAAAAATGTCATGACTGATTGCGATGAAGTCTTTAGTGTTACTGCATTTTCTGTTCATGATTACATTTTAATTCACTCTTTATAACCCATCTTCCTTAAAGATAAAAACGAATCCTAAAAGGTTATATTTTAGAATTTTATTTTCGGCTCTACATAAAATCCTAGCGTACGCAAAGCCTCCATTATATTCCACGCATCAGCCATGACGTAATTTTTCAATATTTTTGTTGTTTCCAGGTAAGCGGATTCAGTGAAAGCGGGCGAAACTCAAAGCATTTTTCATATATCCATGCTGAATATCTCTGTAAGTATTGTTATACAAAGCTATTATTGTTTTTTGTGATTACAATATAAATACTCGTATAACGAGTCCGACATATCCGTGCACTGCTGAAAATGCAGTACATATTAATGGTTAAAATACCGAATGGTTTGTTTCATTGTTTACGCCTAACGTCGAGTAAGTATTGTAATCGCGAAAAATTTCGAGATCCAGGTATTATGTTTTTTGTATAGGGTGCATAACTTCAAGATTCAATAGAACTTTTATAATTAATGCACAAAGTCTATATAAACATGGGTCGAAAAATGCGTGGCCTCCGAAATACAGGGTGTTTAAATTTACTTTCTAAAATAGTTTTTTTTAAATATTTCGAACAATATTTGATGTATAATAGTGAAAATTGGTATGCAAGGGTTTTTTTGGTACGACAAAACGAACCATGGGCATAGCTTTAAGGTAGCCGCTAGAGGGCGCTCTCTACTGTACCTGTAGTGTATTAAAATGACCGAAAATTTTTTCTTAGTGCAATTTTTTGCTTTTTGAAAAAAACTGATTTTTCGCACTTTTCAACATAAAAAAGCTCTCTTGTGAATTTTCGTTATAGTTAGCCGTTTTTGAGATATTTCAATTTTTAAGGTTCGATGCATGTTTAATTATTTATGATAAAATAACGTTAAAAAGTCAGTAACTCGATAATTTTTAGAAGTAGGCTGTGCCTGCAAATATTTTTGAAATTGAAAGCAGAATAAGGTTAAACGTCAATTAGTTGACAGTTAGTTTTGTTGTCTGTTGAAACCTGAAACGTTTTTTGCAATTGTGAATGCACGAAATTTAGTTTCTTTTACCTATTTTTTTGTAAGTTTTATAAAAACGCCATTTTTATTCTCCAATCAAGAGTTAGCGGATATTCATTTTGTGTATGGCTTTGTAAATGGAAACGCAGCAGAAGCAGCCAGAGAATACGCACGAAGATTTCCAAACAGACGACATCCAACTCGCTCAGTATTTGTAAGAGTGCATCGCCAAATAATTGAAAATGGTTTTGGAAATCTCCAAAGGGAACAAAGCATAAATGTTCGTCAGCGCAGATTTACCCGTATGATTCTGCGTGAGTTTGATAGAGATCCGACCACAAATGTTAGGAGAGTTTCTGGTGCCTTGGGAATTTCAGCAATCCATGTTCACCATGTTCTTAGAAATGACCATAGACGTCCTTACTATTTGCAACCTGTGCAAGGACTACAGCCAGGGGACGGATAACGAAGAATCACATTTTGTCAGTGGATTCTTGATAGAACTGATAATAATAGGGAATTTTTAAGTAACGTTTTATGGACCGATGAGTCATGCTTCACTAGACGTGGAGTGGTAAATTTTCATAATCAACATATTTGATCGCATGAAAATCCGCATGCAGTTCGGGAAAGAAATTTTTAGCATGAATTTAGTGTGAACGTGTGGATTGGTATCTACCGTAATCGACTATTTAGACCCTACCTTTTGCCTGCAAGGTTGAATGCTGCGACCTTCTTGGAATTTTTAAAGGCTGAACATGCAAATATGTGGGATGATGTTATGTTAGATTTAAGAAGATTGGCCTGGTTCCAGCTTGATGGTTGTCCAGCTCATTATTCGAGAATAGTTAGAAACTGGATGGACGAAAATTATCCAGAAGGATGGATCGGCCGTGAAGGACCAGTCGCCTGGCCTCCACGATCCCCTGACCTAAATCCATTACATTTCTTTGTGTGGGGATTTCTAAAAGAGAAAGTGTACCAGACTCCCGTAACCACAAGAGGAATGCATGTGATTAAATAAGGCCTTATTTGAATAATGCTTATACCACGTTCGATCATTCGTAGATGTGAATTGTGTATTGAACAATTGGGTTTACATTTCGAGCAACTACTTTAGATTTTGTATGTTTGTCCTAACTATCCAATAGCATTTTAGTTGTAAATAATTAATTTAATTTGTTAAAAATAATATTGGAAAATTAAACTAATTAATATTCTGTTTTTTTTGTGTTTATTTGGAGTTAGGAATTATTGCTGTGTTTAAATACACAATCTAAACGGTCATCTTAATTACTTGCAATGCCCAAATCGAAAATGTAAAAAAAATATTATTTTCCCATAAATAATTAAAAATGCATCGAATCTTAAAAATCGAAATATCTCATAAACGGCTAAGTATAACGAAAACAACTTTTTATGCAGAAAAGTGCGAAGAATCATTCAATCAAAAACTTGCACTAAGAAAAATTTTTCGGTCATTTTAATACACTACAGGTACAGTAGAGAGCGCTCTCTAGCGGCTACAGTAAAACTATGCCCATGGTTCGTTTTGTCGTACCAAAAAACCCTTGTATACCAATTTCGACTGTTATACATCAAATATTGTTCGAAATATTTAAAAAAAAACTATTTTAGAAAGTAAATTTAAACACCCTGTATTTCGGAAGCCACGCATTTTTCGACCCATGTTTATATAGACTTTATGCATTAATTTTAAAAGTTCTATCTAATCTTAAAGTTATGCAACAATAAATTGAAACACCCTGTGTGTTATAAGACTTGCAACGTCGCATCTCCCCAATACCTACTCGGTCAGACGCGGTAGTAATATACCAGAGCAATTACCAAGCTCGGTACGCCGGCGGGAGCAGAAGCAGACGCGTTTCGAAAACATATCTGTCAGTCTAATGTTTTAGGGCAACTGTACGGGGAAACGCATGATATGTGAAGTATAATAAAGAGCCTTTATTGGTAACCTTCCCGAGAAGTTTATCCTTACAGCTACATTTCCACTTAACCACAATATATACAAAACAGAACATAACAAAAGCTGCATGTCACAATAACAATTACAGAACAGTTATAAAATTACACCATTTACACGCATAGTAAGCGAGAAAGAAAGTATTCAAAAGAATAACATTAGAATCGAAAATGAATATGGATAAGGATCAAAGAATGAAAAAGCAATAACCTAAGCATTGAGAGATGCTTGCATCTCTAGCAGCTGTTTTCTAACCAATTCTATAAAAAGAACGTAAATCCTTTGATTATTAGACGTACTGAATGAATTGTATAACTGAAGGGCATTGTAGGTAAAATATATTTGATACAATGAAGTATAGCGGTGAGGAACAATGAACTGGTCATCTTAAGATAAGCTTCTTGTAATTATATTTCTACGACGAACAAACTTACTAGCTAGGTCTGTTAGGTGCATAGAATTAGCGGCTGGAAGCGTATGAATATAATTGACGTATACCCTTTCCACCACTTACGACCCGCAGCCCGTAAACTCTTGAGTCTTAACCCCACAAAAGATGTATCCGAAAATCATCAGGAACCCCTGAAACAAAGTTTGAGCGATTTTTATATTTCTTGTTTTTAAACATGACCTGGCGTAAAAAATAGCATAACCGATAAACCACACTCAAACGTCTCAACTTCCATTCTATCGATACAGAGTTCTGAATATTCCCATTCACATATTATAAATAAGAAAAGAATATTTTTATATTTAAACATTAACATTTCAAACAATTGTTTTAGGTGGGATGATGATCGATTTTATCCTCGTTACACATTACATACACATGCGCCAACCACTATCGGCTCCTTTGCTTTTGATGTCACAACTTATTCAATAACTATCCTAGCGACTGCCATGGAAGCGCTTATAAAAAATGTATGGTTGTACTCTCGGAGAAATCTATCTTTTCATACTAATTATATTATTACACATTAAATAATAAACCTATCTTTGTTGATTTCTCAAGACAGCTCAAGACAGCCCCAAAATACATCACATACGTATTTATTGCGTAACCTACCTTTTCAAAATTCCTTCTTAAATGTTTCACAATGAGCAGATTTCACCCAACGTCAACGTATCAGATTTTTGAAAGGCTGTCGCCTCTGATAGTTTAGTTCAGTTCAGTTTTTTTTTCTGGGGACTCAATAAAATATTCTTTCGAGTACCATATATACTATACGTTGAGTAGAAGAGGTAAGACAAAAATCATCACAATGACATCGTTACCCATAATCCACATACTCATCTATAGAACCGTCCCTGAAAATCGATGTCGTCTTCTCCGTAATCTCGTGCCCCCCCTTCCTGACAGATACATAACAGTCCTCTCAGATTATGAAATAGGGAGGCGAGCAGAAAAAGAATTCCTGAAGGGCCTCCTGCTCCTCTTCTCGTGTCCCTTTCCTCCCTCTCGCCGTAATTTCCCTCTTAATTGAAAAGAAACAGGCGAAAATCGCAGACTAAGTGAAAATTCAGTGTCGCTACGACGTTGCTATGCACACCGGAGGAAGGCAGTGGCGTTGCGACGACTTCATAAGAATGATGATAAGAAGCAATAGTTGACAATATAGAGATGAAAAATTAGAAGCAGTAGCGTAACATATCTTGCCATACGGCAAGTAAGTGCAAAACATTATTATTATGTTAGTTATTTGTCCTATATTACCTCTTAACAGATGAAATTCCAGACTTCAATTCTGCTAGTCCAATTTAATGGCGCCGATGTGTCAGTTTGTGCAATCGCTACTTGAAAAGTTTGACAAATGGAGTTCGGCGCATCTGTAGATTCTTAAACTACTAAAAATGTTTATAATTACGAATTGACATAATAAGCACTGGAGCATGTTTCAAAACTCCTAACTACTTAAAAATGATCCAACTATGACCATAAACGAGGAAAAATTCAAAAAGAACATAAGTATAAAGGAAATCTTTGTATGCTCGGTGGTCCACAGCTAGCTACACTTGCCAATGAATGTAGATTTACAAAAACATAGCTGCATGATCTACATGCTGCACTATATCGCTGCGCTTCCAAATTCACTGTAACATATATAATAACGAAAAAAAAAACGACGGCAGTATGTCTTATGGATGTTACGAGACAACCCAAAAGACATATCTTGGATTTGATACTCATTTATCGTTTATTATGTAGCTCTTCCAGAAAAGCAGTTTGTACGTCCATGGCATATGTCCTCCTATCCCGAAAAACATGTGAAGAGGTGGATGTTAGACGTGGATTCGTGTGACCAGTGGTTTTGTATCATTATACCGATTATCTTTTTATTATAATAGCTGGCGAATAGTCCCCAAGGATTTCATGAAAAAGATTCCATTGGTGAGCGGAAGCATTTTATAAATGGAATGCACAACGAGCACATGTGATCAAGTAGATTGTAGAGGTAGCTTCGAAATATCTTCTACCTACCTGACTGTCTCAGAAGGACGGTAACGTTTATCGCGCGTGGATTTGTATAACATATGTATCTATGTTATGTATCCAAAAAAATCATTTTCACGAGCTACCGGCCAAGAGGCTTAATGAATTTTAGCTTATGTAGTATCGTTGAATTCGACCTAGCAGTGCGAATGACATTGACTGTATTGAAATTTTTGAAACATAAAATAGCGGTTAGTAATACAAAAATAACTCTAACATTGCTAACCATGTCACTCATTTGAATCGGTCTGTCGGTCTGTCCAGTAATCCTTGGCTTCCCTATAACTTGGAAGAAAGAATGTCTGTGGACTAATTGTATGGCCTTATTTCACAGACTTGATATTTTTCTGTTGTACTTTTTTCTCAGAGGGTTCAACTTGTGCTGAACATAATCCTTTATGAATTGATAAGGGCATTGCGTAAGAAGTGCAGAGCCAACCTACTTGATGCCATTTTTTTATGATTATAGATACTGACCTACCTACCTAACGTTTAAGTTACAGCCAATAAATTGATAGATCGGCCAAGGGCTGATATTTCCAAAAATTTTCCCTACCCTACAGGATGCTCTAAACGATAAATTGAACATATTATGTTCACTGGTTCTTTTTTGTGTGATGAATTCCATTTGAAAGTCACCTAAGCTATATTGAATGGTAAATACTGAATCAACTTATAATGCTTCACTTTCTTCCTATCTCACTCCATGATGGGACAATGGTCTTTAAAAGTTCTGACGAAGAAGCAAGTCTTGAGAGCTTTACAGTCAGCTTTCGTCTGTTTTAAATGCTTAGGACTGCCGCTCGGCCCGGCAGTCACGTAAACGGTTGGTAATAAAACGGAACAATTAAACAGCACTTATTTTTCTAATAATGTGCAGAGAACCAGAATGTAAATTTGCTCCGAGTTCTTTCTAGCGGAAAAATGGAGCAGACGGTCTCAGAATAAAATGTTATGTAAGTTGGAACATCACCTTATAGCAAAGTTACAGCCCTTCCATGTCTCAGTGTAAGTGTATATAGAACGCTTAGCAAAGTATGCCAATATTATGAAAAGGTTCACAACAACATCGTATGAGAGAGTGAATTTGGTCCCACTATCAGTTTTGGAAAAAATAAAAATGTCCTGCCTATGATTTCAAATGAGGTTGATAATGGTACAACATCAAAATTCAGAGATAGTGAAAATTCATGTCCCATTAAACTATATCTTCCTGGGTACGCCCAAAAAATATCAATTCGGAAAGCGTACATACAAAGTTTGGGGATGCTTGATTATATTTTCATTTGTGTAAATAGCTCAGCTAACAATGCACTAATTTCAATTAAAAAAATAGGTAACACTATAAATTATGACGCCAGCGTTGAGATGGCAAACTGAGAGGCTGACCGACAGAATAAATCTTTAATAAGGGGTATTCCTCATATGATCCTGATAATTCTCGAATATTACTGACAGTCTAGCATAAGACGCTTTTTTGATCCCCGACTCTGTCAAAAAGTTTAAAACGCGAACCAAAAAATACTCCCTAATTTAAACTTGATACTCCCGTATTTAGTCCATGCTTTCGGGGCTTCTTGAAAAATGCCAGCTTAATTGAGTTTGTGTGTTTCAGAGGAGAACCTTATCAATTATCTCCAAATCTTCAAACTGGAAATAAATGCTTCTTCAAGGTTTCTCGTATATTCCGAATGAGGGAATGTTCTTTTATCGACAATCTGGAATTCGGCTTTTACAGCTGAATCACCATAGTAATTTGTGTGTGATCTGTATGATCAAACAAATCGGGGATAAGGTATCTATAAACAGGATTATCCAGCACAGTTCGTCCGTGTTAATGACCCTTATTGTCTAATCATATTAACAAATTTCTCAGAAATAATAAATAAGTCTGGTTTTATTGGTGCAAGTTGTTCAAGGGGGTATTTAAAACGTGGATGCATAAATTGGGTACACCAATTTTTGTAGGAAAACTTCTTATTTGTCAACAAAGAATGACAAAATGTGTTTGTTGGGATTCAATCGATGTAAAATTATTAGGTATAATGAGACCACGCGTAAAAAGATCCGACTAATAGCAAAAATGTTACGGCCGAAAAACGAGATAAAATGCAAGTTTTGCCACTTGTTGGTAATGCGACGATAATTTCATGCAACTACTTGGAATACTTCAAATCCGTAGAATTTATACTTCTAAATAACAACAACTAAACTGGATTATATTGGTCAAGTAGTTTTTTGCAAAATTTCTAATTGTTCATCCCAAAACTCCTGTTTTTCGACCATCACTACTAGTTTATTGGGAAATATACACGGTTCGTACAAAAAGCATTTAATAGTAAAATACACGTGTTTACCTTGCCGATATGTATCACAAACCATTCGGAAAGAAAATGTAATTTTCATGCGGAAAAAAAAGGTTAGGGTTTTTCTTCAGAACAAATTCAAACATTTCGTATCTTTGAGTATTTGAACAAATGTGCTAGGATATTCTAAAAACATACGCTCCTATTCAAATTTTCAAATAAAGCGAATGTGTATCATGTTTTGTTGCGAATTACTCACAAATACGACACGTTTGAATTTGTTTAGAAGAAAAAACGTAAAATAACATTTATCTTCCGGATAACATTTATCTTCTGGAATGGTTTGCGATTCATATAGTAGTAGTAGGGTAAACTAGTGTAATTTGCTATAAAATACCCTTTGAACTAACCCTGTATATTGCTCAGTATACTAGTACTGATGTCAGGAAAACAGTTCTCAAAAACTACTTGACCAATCTACTCCAATTTTGTTGTGGTTATTTAGAATAACAAATTTGAAGAATTTCAAATATCTTGCCATCGCCGCATTACCAAAAAGTGCCAAAACCTGCAGTTTGCCTCGGCCTTCGGCCATAACTTTTCTGCTATTAGTCGGATCTTTTTACGTGTGGTCTCATTTTGTAGTCTCATAAATACCTAAGAATCTTATCTATAGAGTGTTTCGTTTCTGCCAACACTTTCGATTGAATCCCAAAAAAGTACGTTTTCTCATTCTTTGTTGTCGAATAAAAAGTTTTCCCACAAAAATTGGTGTACCCATTTTATGCGTCCATGTTTTGAATACCCCCTTGAATAACTTGTAGCAATAAAACCAGACTTTACAATTATTTCGCAAACCAAGGGTATTTTGTTCGTAATTTGGTAGCATAGTTTTGAGAAAATGCATTACTGAACTTAGTTCCCAATTTGTTTACAAATTACAATCCACGTGAAGAAATTTTTGTAATAAATTTCGTACGAAGTCGATAGAAAAAAACTAAAACGGTCTAGTTCGAACTGCTAGCTATCACGTCAAAGTCATACTAACCACACTTTCCGTTGCGGCTTGCTGCTTAATTACTTTAAACGAATAGAAAATTGTAGAAAATGGAGCGATCCCGTAACCCGTAATTTGCATATACTGTATTATAGGTGTATGCGACTGCTGGACCAGCGATCTGCGTTGTAGCTGCCCAC